TGTTTCACATGTTAATTTACTCAACACATTTTATTTGAAAACCTACTAGTTCTTTATACCTTATTGTCACATAACTAATTAGTTGATATATACTAGAGATTCTTTGAAAGGAAGTTTGGGCAATCTACTTCCGTTGAGATACTGCCTCGGAAACCCAATGAGGAGTCGCCATGAGTTGGAAACAACTTGATGGCAGTGAGTTTGGTTTCATTTAGAGACTCTACTTCTGTACTATCTCCACAGAGGCAGTGTTGTTACATGCCAACAAGTCAACTTCCAAATCAGAGGAATGTAGTATGGCGGAGTAGAACTGCTCTATATTTTTTGCAGTGGAGCGACTGAATGGGTTCAAACCACCAATCTTTTAGTTAGCAGCCGAGCACTTAAACCTTATCCTCATATATCTAATTAGTTGATAAATTTTCCTAGAGATCCTACTGCCAGAGACAGAGTGGTAGAACAGAGAATATACTATGTTAGAACAAGCATACATTTTGAGTATGTGTTCAAAAAGACCTGAATTAGTTTATGCCTCACCTGTTTAACCTTGGGAAAATTACTGAATTATCTGAGCCTGTTATTTTAATTATAAAAATAAGATTAAGAAGATGCATATTCAAGACATATTGCTTACCACAAAGTACATAAATACTACTTGCTCTTTTTCTCCATCTCTTGCCATGCCCATTATCATCACTACCCATCACTTGTCTGAACTATGTGCTACAGCTTTCAACTGGTCATCCCACTGCAGTACACACTACAAACTGACAGATTAATATTCTCATTTTGTAAGTCTTGTTATATTATTCCACCACTCATCAGTTAGTTTGTCGTACTATGATGGGTTGCCTGTTGCTATAAGGGTGGAGGTTATGCCACCTGTATTTCAAGTACCTACAGGGTCATCCATGGTGGACAGGTTTCAGTTGTGCTTCCAGAGTAAGACAGACTGGGAAGAAGGATAGGACCATCCACTTTTGAAAAAACTGGCCATTAAAAACCTTATGAATAGCAGTGAAACACTGTCTGATATTTAAAACAAAAACAAACTCACTGCCTTCAAGTTTGTTCCGACTCATAGCGACCCCTCCTTGGGTTTCCAAGGCAGTATCTCTATGAAAGTAGATTGCCCAGTCTTCCTTCCAAGGAGTGGCTGGTGGGTTTGAGCTGCCAGGCTTCTGGTTAGCAGTCAAGTGCCTTAGTCACTACTCCACCAGAGCTCCTACTGTCTGATATATTACTGGGAAACTTCATGAAGAGCCCTGAAACACTGTCTGATACACTGCTGGAAAATGGGCCCCTTAGGTC